CCCTTTCACTCATTCCCAACAGTCCTGATAAAAGGCCAAGATAAAACCATCAGGATCTAGTGCCTTAGAACTATCCATAGAGAATACAGCATTCTTTTCCTCTTCCTCTTCGAATTTTCTCCCCAACTCTCTGCTCCAAGGTCTCTCCAAAACTGGCCAATCCAAACCCTCTATCTTCCATCTCCTAGAAACCAGCCACCTATAAATTGATTTAAAATGATCCACAAAGGCCTTAGCAATGTCTTCATGTTGAGTGGTTGCACGGTACCTTCTTCTAGTTCCAACATTGAGACAATTCTTCTTAGTTGCTATCTTGTGAAAATAATTTGTATTCTCGTCTCCTTCTTTTTGATCCATCTCATTCTTGATTTTTGCTTCCAAGTCATCTACTCTCTCAACATTATAATTTCCAAATCTTCTTTCAATCTTACTCTCTTCTCTTTTTCTCCTCCTGCCATTTTTTTATCAATTTCTTCAATTTGGCTTATCAATGCTAATTTTCTTTCTTCAATTCTTTTAAATTTGTCAAGATTCCACCCTTTAATCTTTGCTTTCAGATTTTGAAGTTTCTTATAGAATCTAATCCCTTCCCAATCAACCTAGGAAAAATCCTCCTCCCACCAATCTCTCACCATATGTACAAACTCTGGAATTTGGCCCTCCACCATTTAATTCTTGACAAAGACAAATTGGCCAATGATCTAAAGTTAGCCTTGGAAGAATTCTACCAATCAATTTATCCCAGTGCTCCTTCCAATCTGAGGAAACAAAAAATCTATCCAATTTTGAGCACATAGAATTCTCCAGGCAATTGGTCCAAGTAAATTTATTTTGTTCATTTGCAATTTCATTCAACTCCAAGGTCTTTATCAGCCTATTGAACTTCCTCATGCTATTGGTTACCTGTCGTCTAGGGTTACTAGACTTGGCTATATATCTAATCACATTGAAATCACCTCCTAGACACCACGGGCCTAGCTAGAGTCCTCATATATCAGTCCATTCTTCCCACAATCCATTCCCTTCCCTATATGATGTAGGCCCATAAACATTTTTTACAACCCAAACGAAATTTTCATCCACGCTCTTCAATTTCACGAAGACTCCACGGGCCTATCAGCCTATTGAACTTCCTCATGCTATTGGTTACCTGTCGTCTAGGGTTACTAGACTTGGCTATATATATCTAATCACATTGAAATCACCTCCTAAACACCATGGGCCTAGCTAGAGTCCTCATATATCAGTCCATTCTTCCCACAATTCATTCCCTTCCCTATATGATGTAGGCCCATAAACATTTTTTACAACCCAAACAAAATTGTCATCCACGCTCTTCAATTTCACGAAGACTGAAAATCTGCCAATCAACTCCTCTAAACATTTGACAGATTCCTCATTCCAAAGGCTAATAATACCCCTCAACCCCGACTTACACCAAGAAGGGGCTTGAGCCCACCCTATACCTCTCCCTCCCCAAATACTCCTTACCCCTCTTCTATTGAATTCTTGTACCTTTGATTCCTGCAGCAACACCAAATCTGGCTTTTCCCTCCTAACAACATCCTTAATAATTCTTCATTTCCTTGCACTCCCCAATCCTCTTACATTCCATCTAATTATTTTCATTTACTTGTCTAAATTACTAAAACCCTTCATCTTTAAAACTCTACCCACTGCCTTTCCTTCTCCCACTTCTCTCACTAAACTCCTCTCCCTTGTTCCAATCATCTTTGAGTTTTTCCACCTTGCTTACTTTCCTCTTCCGTTTTTTCTCTTCCACAGCTCCTTCCTTTACAAGAGTTTTTCCTAAACCTGGTTAGTGATCTTCAAACTCATTCTGTCTGCCCACTATCTTAATGGAATCTCCTCATCAGTCCTATAGCCTTATCTACTTTACACCCCCCCTCATGGATCCCTACCCCCTTCTATCTCTTCCCCCCAACCACTCTCTCCTTCTCCCCAATCTCTCTTTCTCCTCTATTTGGACCACTATCTCTGCTTTCTACCCTTCTTTCACTTGCACCTTCTGTATTCAATGGTTCTTCGATAGATTGGACTAAAGCTAGGATATCTACAAGTTCACCAATGCCAACATTAGTACCCGAAAACATAGGAACAAGGTTACCTTGAGGGAAGGGGTGTTTACAGGAACATGACTCAAAGGGGCATCAGTAAACAATCCTATCCCCTTGTTTGGTGGAATCCTTTAGCTAGACACTTTCCGATGCAATTGCAGGGCATGAGTAAGGAAGAAATATTCGAGCATTTGTGTTCTATTTTTGCAGGTACAATTACTGGCAAGCCCAAGACTAGACTGTACTAAGACATTTCCGCTCAACATTGCTCAAAAACTCTATCTACAAGGGTATGTTCTGCCACAAAAATGGCAACTCTACGATGGACAGCATAGAAGTGCTTGTGTGTATATGAGCAAATTGAGGATGCCTTGGGATCATATCCCACAAATGGGGACTTGAAGGTAAGGGAATTCTGCAAGACTCTTACAAGCAAAAAGCTTATACGTGGTTCGTCAATCTAGCTCCAAACAGTATTCAGTCATGGGCAGTGTTTTAAAAGCGCATGGGCCAATTTGCGCCTGAGGTGCAAGGTACACGCCTTTTTAAGCAAGAAAAGCTAAAAAAAATCAAAAAAGTCAGAAAATTCAAAAAAAATGCCAAAAAAACTAAAAATGCAAAAAAAAATCAAAAAATATTAAACATAATGTTAGTAAAAATATAAACTTAAATTTTAAAATAAATGTTTTGAAAAACCTATTATCTAAAATTAAAATACATAAACATAACATGTAAAGCGTATTCAAATGAAAATTTAAAAATAAAAGCAAACATATAAAGCATTTTCAAGCATGTAAAACCCATAATCTCTTTTTCTCCTTAATTGCATTGCTTTAAGTAGCTAATGTGATGTAAAACATATTGAATTCTTGATTCTATGAGTCGCCTTTGTACCACGCCACTCGAGGCAAGCCCGAATAAGTCTATGTTAGGGTCTGAAATTCCTATTTCTCACATAAAAAACACCCAGCCGTTAGACTCAAAAAAAAAAACAAACAAAAAGCACAAAATTTTAAAAAGGCGCACGCGTGCGCCTTTTGAAAGGGATGCACCTAGGACCTGGGTGAGGCGCATACCCCAAAATTCACCTCACTTGTGCGCCAAGGCACGCGCCTTTTAAATCACTGGTCATGGGATGACCTTTTCAATAAGTTTCTAGGAAAATGGTTTGTCACAGAAGGGCACATAACAAAAGTAGACCAGCGAAACATCAGGCAAGACAATATTGAAGACTTAGTAGACTATGTGATCAAACTCCAACAAGCAACATTGACAGTATGCAAGGAGTATGTTAAGGAAAGGGATTTTGTAGATGAATGTCACAAGGAAACTCCGCCAATGTGAGCTTGTCTTACACTGCCAGTCCCAAGCCCAGATAAAGGAGGAGGTGTGACAAGTTAGCTATTGACACTAACACTTTTGCCAAACTCTCATGATATGGAAGCGAATACCACTTAGATTTAAAGGGAAATTCTATAAAACAGTTATAAGGCCAACAATGTTGTATGGAGCAAAGTGTTGGGCAGCCAAGAAACATGTCCAAAAAATGAATGTGAAAGAAATGTGAATGTTAACATGGATGAGTGGAAAATGAGAAAGAGTAGGTCCTATAAGTGATAAAATGAGAAAGAGTAGACTAAGATGGTTTGGGCACATGCATGGAAGACCACCAACTGTGCCAGTTCGAAGAAGTGATTTGTTACACATTGAAGGGGCTAGAAGTGCTCAGGGTAAACCAAAAAGGACATGGGTGTAGTAAGAAATGATTTAAGCACTAACAATTTTATTATCAATTTAASCACTAATAATTTAGCAGTGGATATGGCTTTAAATAAAATGGATTGGCAAAACAGGATTCATGTAGCCCACCCCATATAGTTGGGATAAGGCATGGATGATGACGATGATGATAAATGCATCAGAGGTATTCATCTTAGATACAGGCCAGTACTAGAGAATTTAAACATTCATCTTGTGGGAATGTGCATAACAGCAAGACTAGTTGGCAAATGACGCAAAGCAGGCTCACAAACAGCAGCTAGGCCAGAATCATACTTGGTAGAGAAGAAGCAGAGACGACCCATGACGCAAAGTGGAAAAGGCAACTTGCCACTGCCTCCTCCACCATTCCCATGCAGTATGTCCAAGGTACTGATAATAATTAACCATTCCCATGCAGTATGTCTGAGGTACTGATAATAATTACTCATTCCCTTGCAGCAAGTCCAGGGTACTGATAATAATGAAGAAGCTACTCAACAACAGCAAGACTAGTTGATCCATAAGCAACTTAGGGTTAATCAATATAATTCAAACCAGTTTGCATATATTCAAGTTGTTTTCTACCTGATGCTTCAGGTAACATAATCATGCATTATTCTTTTTCCAAATACTTGGTGCAACATTTTAAATAAGAAAAATGGATGATCCTGCTTCCATGATCTAGAAGGCAACATTTTTTCTATTGGCATCTATAAGACAACCTTCACATCAGCCATACTTTAGAAAATGTAAGAAGACTATAAGAGAAAATTACTTTGGTAGCTTTGCTTGCCTGCTTGGTGAAAACATACTAAATAGCACTAATGTTCCACAAAAACAAAATGTCTTAGTTAAGAATCACCATTAGTGCAGGGTTTGCTGCAAAATTTTCCATATTATTACAGGACTAATCTACCCAACATTTGTGATGCCGGAGCACTTTGGCAACCATGTGTCATAGGAAAACAAACCACAACCAATAATGAAGGTATCATTTTTCTTATGTTTCCTCATTCAAACTTTCATCTTAACCAAAGTGTGGTTTTAATATATTTTTTTCCAATTTGCAGGAACCTGTATATTGTTTCGGAATTAAACCACATCTTCTAATTCAGATTAAGAATGCCTGATTGTGGCTTCAAGTAGAACAAAAATACGAACCTTTGCTGAACCATCTAAGCCTTCCCTACTGTGAGAGCAACAGCCATCCAATATGTTCAGGCGATGATTGAATTGGGAAAATTCCTGCCTCAAACGATGGACTTCTTGTTGTAATAAATTCTTTTGAACTTTTTCAAGTTTAGCCTGTCTTTTGGCATGCTTTACCTGCATCTTTTTGAGCTTCAGTTGCTTTTCTAGAACCTTGATATTTCCATTTGTAGTATGTACCTCCAGATCAAATGGAACAGGAGGCATCTTTTCCATTTTCATATGCGATTTAGTTTCCAATATCTCCTTCTGTAAGGCCTCATTCCTTCGCCTCTCCTCCTCCAGCTTCTGAGAAAAATCCTCAGCACGATTTTTTTCTTCTGCTGCTTTCTTCCTTTGTGCTTCAGCACACTTTCTCATCTCTTCTGTTTTCGCAACTTCTGATTCTGCACGTTTTTTCTCTTTATTAACCTTCTGCTTCTCAGCTTCAAGCCTCCGGTTTGCATCTTCAGTCTTGGATATTTCAGAATTCAATTTTCCCTTTGCTTCATTGAGTTCTTGCTTTGATGCTTCCAAGCGACGGATATAATCTTCAGCCCTACTCCTTTCAACATCAGCAAGCCTCTTCTGTTCTTCTGCCTTAATCTTTTCTGCCTTCACCATTTTCCATGCCTCTGCAGCTTTTTTCTTCTCTGCATCAGCCTTCTTTTTCTCTGCATCGGCCTTCTTTTTCTCTTTCTCAAGAAGCGCCTTGATTTGGTTTATCTTCACCTCATCGTCTGAAACACAGGTTCGGAGCTGTATCACTTCCCTATCTAGATCCTCGTCCCGTGAACCTCCTTTGCTCTGTAATAGAGCGATCTCAGACTTCAAATTAGAGACCTCGTTCTCCAAACCAACTCTAATAGTAGATTCTTTCACTTTTGCCTCTCTCTCTAATTCCGCTCGAGCTCGCTCCTCCTCATAGGCTGCGAACCAAATATACAATTCTTGTTAATGCAATTGAGCCACATCTAGTCTTCAGAAACAAAATATATGAGCCGAAATAGAATTATTCGTACTATCTTGCCCTATCAATCCACAGCAAAACCAAAATTTCTTTCGCAAATCCGTACCTTGAACTTGAAGAGTAAAACAAATTTCAAAGAAAGAAGAACCGAATGAACAAAACGGAAGAAAGTTGCATCGACTTACATTTTTTCAGATTGAGATTCTCAGATTGAAGCTTATCAATTTGATGCTCCAGAAGCTTCACAGCTTGCCGAAGAGCGTTCCTTTTCTCTTCCGACTTCAAGAATCTTTCTTTCAACTAATCCAAATAGGGGAAAACGAAGAGATTTAGTACAAACAGAACTACTTGAATACGTGACTATCAAATGTCAGAAGGAAAACATTACCACTGCACAGCAGGATTTCGCCAGTTCTCGTTCAATGACTACATCTGCCGCCATTGCTGTGAGAAACCGAAGATGAGAAAGAATAAGTCAAGTATAAAAAGCTGTGTTTACTAGAGAGAGATGGAGAGAAAGAGCCATAAAGCAAACGAGAAAGATATAGAGGTTAGGAAAAAATGGCTCTTAACAGAGTAGAATTAGGGTTTTAGGGATGTTGAGTTCGGTTGGTTTTTTATGGCTGCAGTTGGGCACTTGCATCTGCCATTGTGAAGACAGTTTTTTGGCAACGAAGACGGCTTATTGGGGGTGAACGTGAAAGGCGAAACACCGAAAAACCCTCAGGCTCTGTTTGGTTTGTGGGATGGGATGGGATGAGAAAGTGTGAAGTCTTCATTTTCCATCGTTTGGTTTATGAGAAAAAAACATGACATAAATCAGAGTTGAAAATAAAACTATTTAGCTCCAAAAATCAACTGTCATAACAAAGAGCTATACCTAGCGATTAGGTTGGGTGGGTTGGGTTCAGGTTGGATCAAGTTATTTCGGGTTGATTTCGAGTCGGGTTGAACTTTGGGTTGGGTTGTCAAATGCTAGACCCTAACCCTAAATATTCGGGTTTGGGTTGACCCATCCCAAAAAATAAATGAAATTTTAAAAAAATAAAGAAAAATGTCAAAATTAAAAGAATTAACCTTAAAATTCCAAATATAAAATAAAAAATTTAATATTTAACAATTTAAAGAGTAAAATAGAAAAAATTAAAGAGTAGAAACTTCTAACAATGCATAAATAATCCCAATTATACTTGACAATCGGGTCAGCGGGTTGACCCATGATCCAATCCAACCCAACCCAGCTTTTTTCATGTTGGGTCGGGTCGGGTCGTTTTCACATTCGGGTAGCTAAATATGAGACCCTAACCCTGTTTTTGGGTTGGGTTGGATCGGGTTCGCGGGTTGGGTCAACTTTTTGCCAGGTCTACAAAGACCCATTGCTATCCATGAAATGGCATTTCTGACTACAGAGGTGTAAATTGGACGAATTTGGTCAAACTCGATCCAGTCCAATGTGAGTCCATTTATAAATGGATTGGACCCAATTCAGTCCATACCAAATCCAATCCAATCCATTAAAATGTAAATGAATTGGATTGGATCCAATCCAAACCGAATGAAATATCAAAAAATATATAAAAGCATTTTTGTAAAAGTACTTTGATAAAAATATTTTCATAAAAGTGCTTTTACAAAAGCACTTTATAGAAAGTACTTAAGCACTTTTCAAAAAGTACTTCCATAGACTTTTATAAAGTACTTTTGTAGAAGTGCTTTTGTAAAAGTATACTTTCATAAAAGTGCTTTTGAAAAAATACTTTTATAAAAGTACTTCCGTATAAGTGTTTTTATAAAAGTGCTTTCATAAAAGTTCTTTTGTAAAAATGCTTTCGTAAAAGTGCTTTTATAAAAGTACTTCTATAAAAGTGCTTTCGTAAATGTTTTTTTTCTAAAAGTGCTTTCGTGTAAAAGTACTTTTATAAAAGTGCTTTCATAAAAGTTCATTTGTAAAAGTGCTTTTATAAAACTACTTCTATAAAAGCGCTTTCACACTAATACTTTTGTAAAAATGTTTTCGTAAAAGTATTTTTATTAAAGTGCTTTTACAAAAATGTTTTCGTAAAAGTGCTTTCGTTAAAGTACTTTCATAAAAGTGATTTTATGATGTTTTCAGTTTTGATTGATTTCAAATTGGATAAGGGTTTAGCCTCATGATCGGATTATTGAAAATTTGGTTTAGGTCTAAATTCAAACCAATAAGAATATGGACCAAATTATTTTGGATTGGCCTAATCCAAAAATTATAATGGACCATCCAAATCCAATTTGATAAGGCTTGGATCGGATTGGATCCAAAACAAAACCGGTGAAGGGATGAGAGATCCATCATATGGATGGCCGAACACTACAGAAAGGTAGGGCGAAATTTCAAAAATTTCTCTCTCCCATGTGGGAATCGCATTCCCTGTTTTTGAAAAACTGTATTTTTCAATGATCAATCTTGAACCAAGAACCGAACCATATCTGAATCAAAAGGAAGGAAAGGGATATACCTGATACAAAAAATAGCATCTCCCAATGAAGGTGTTCACGCCCAAAGAAAATCTCCAAAGACTGCTCCCACTGAA